AATAAATAAATCGGATATTAGGGGTTCTGATATTATTAAAAAAATACATTTAATTTAACGCTATTATGATAGTATGGATACACTGTCATTCGTTAAAACCTGAATAAAGAAATCGGATATTAGGAGTTCTGATATTATTAAAAAACTACACACAGTATTAAGAATAATATATTCTGAGATTATTAATTCCACGCGCAATTGTTTATTCATCGTTTCGATAGAACTCTTGCAAACGATCTTTGCAACTTTTATCAAACATTTTCAATCAGGCGTGTTCGAATCTTTGTTACATTTCTTCTTCTTTGATTTCATATTGAAGGGACAGATACTAGAATTTGAGAGACTTTTCACAGGTGAGAACGAAGGAGGAACCACACGCGCCGTATCGTTACGAAGCCGTGGCTGTCGTGCACAAGGATCTGAACATCAACAACGTGCAGGGATTACGCGGATTAAAATCCTGTCACACCGGCGTAGGCCGTAACGTTGGCTACAAAATACCGATCACCAAACTCACCGACATGGGAGTTCTAAATAATTTACACGACCCAGAATATTCGGCGCGCGAGAACGAGCTGCGCGCATTGAGCTCTCTATTCTCCAAGGGATGCTTGGTCGGCACTTGGTCCCCGGATCCAGCGATCAATCGCAGGCTCAGTAAGCTTCCGTAATATTTCAACAATTTTTTCTTTTTTTTTTTTTAACAGTAATTTTAATGCTAACGAAAATTGAATCTCAACTAGCGACGAGTATAATCAATTCGTAATTTTTCATAGAAAATTACAAGAGTGCATGTTTGGAAACATTCCTGGCGAATTTCGAATCACGTCACCGCGTTCCTTTTTAAATTCTGTCTGATAATTATTATTATACTGTTTGATACTTGTATTTATTATAATTTTATCAGTTTCACAAGACACTGTCTGTCACGTTCGATTTTTCAGAGGACACCTATTCGAACATGTGTGCTCTGTGCGAGAAGCCAGAGATTTGCGACTATCCAGACATTTATTCTGGATACGAAGGCGCGTTGCGATGCCTCGCGCACAACGGCGGCGAAGTAGCTTGGACAAAGGTGATTTACGTGAAACGTTTCTTCGGTTTGCCAGTCGGCGTGTCCCCTGCAGTTCCGACTGCAGAAAATCCCGCAGACTTCAGATACTTCTGTCCAGACGGTAGCAAAATACCAATAGACGCCAACACGAAACCGTGCACTTGGGCAGCGAGACCTTGGCAAGGTTACATGACCAACGACCAAGTCAACGACGTAGAAGCCGTTCAGAAGGTTTTTTTCTTTCTCTGTTATAAAAAGAATAGCTATTAAACGCTAGAAAAAAACTGCCAACCACTCAGATATAATATTCGTAGCAGTGAGATTAAAGTGCAAGGAATAGAAAAAGTTATTACAGTACAGTAGCTTCTATTTATATATTTATAATGAGAAATATATCTTATAATATATATTATATATTATAAATTTATAAAATTTATAATACAATATATATTCTATTTGTATATTTTGTTAAAAATCATCAGAGTCTCTAAATATATGCTATTAGAAATATATAAGATTTTCATGAAAAATTATAAATTGGTCATTTTGTATGTAATACAAAAATTTTGAATGTAACATCATCATACATACATACATACATATATATATATATATATATATATATATAAAATACATATAGTGAAATTTACATGATAAATGAAAAACGAGGAAATATTATTGGATTGAGAATGACTCAAATCTATTATTAACCATCTACCTAATTTATCAAAACGGTATCAAAAATGAAATTGTTTTCATTAAAACAAAATTAGCTGAGAAGGAATCATGTCTATGTAACAAACATATTTTTATCATTATATTTATTACAAAATAAAATGTACGATCAATAGTTCACAATGGAAATATAGTACTGAATTTTCAGTGTTCGATTACTAGAATTTAGTAATATATTATTCATAAAGTATCAGTGTATTAGTGTCTATAATGTGTAATTAGTATTAGTATTAGTATTAATCTTTTTTCTTTCTCTTTTCCGAACAATCTTCGATGCAATTGAATGGCCAATGTATTAACACTGTAACTCGTGCAGGAACTGACGGATCTCGGTAAACTGGGAGAGGAAGAAAAGGCAGACTGGTGGAAAGACATTATGCTACTGAATGAGAAAACTTTGGCCGTTGCAGCGCCAGTGGCGTTGCCTGAATACCATTTGAAAGACGCAAAATATTTCGACGTGATCGAGAGGAATTCCGGAGCTACGGACAAAAGTGCTCGTTGGTGTGTCTCGAGCAAGAAAGCCCTCGACAAGTGTCGTGCACTTGCTAGAGCTGCGTACTCCAGGTAAATGCCATCTATTTTGAATCTCCTTGAGACTCTCTTGTGCAGTAGTTAATCGTAAATTGTAGACTATAGACCACTCGACGGCGAACCTTTTTGAGAAGTAGGTCAAATTTTGTTCATTATTTTTTTTTTTTTAGTACTAGCTCGTGAGTTACTAAGTCAGTGGCGTCAGATGGAAAGGGGGAGGGAAAGATAGTTAAAAACTCTGAAAAGTTTACGTTTCCTTTTTGTTTTACAACGTTTACTTTTGCAAGCGAATAGCAAACAATAAATGTCGACGTCAAAAAATTGATATAAAAGGGGTGACATCATACTCAGTCACCCCTGCACTATACATTAGATATATATACTTTATTTCTTAATATTTTTTATCGTCTGTTCTCTCTTTTATTATATAAAAAAACTAGCAAAGCTACCCATTCTGAGAATGGGATCTAGTGTGTTTTTTTAATGTTTATTACATCTGTTGTTTAATCGTAAGCGCTATATAAAATTTTTTGGACACAAGTAACTCATATAACATTTAAGACTTCATTATGAGACACTCTGAACATAATATACTACGTGAAATTTATTTATTTATTTATTTACGGGCGGTACTCGTTATCATGCCACATGACGAGCATACAAAAATAGTTATGAAAATAGCACTCAGTCCACGAAAAGGGAAGAAAAGCAACGATGTGAAAAAATACAGATACGTTAAACAGCCTAACTTTGAAAGATGCAAGACTCTCTCAAAAAGAAATCAACCTTGCTTGAAGTTTATCTGTGAATTTGGCAAATGGAAAACGACAAACTTGCGTAAAAATGATATGTAATAGTATTAAATGGATGAGACAAATCTCTATTTAATTTCCATTTTATTATCTTTTTTAGTTAATAAATCGTATACATGTGTACAAACATAACCATTAGTTGCGAGACAAAAATTAAATGTCGATGATTTGTAATTAGCTCTGTAGATTGTGCAAGATGACTTGTTTGCGATGCCTACATAATCTCATCGTTGTCCGTTGACGTTATTTCCATGTTTCGTCAGAGATGTCAGGCCAAAGTTCGAGTGTTCGCTGGAGAAGACTCAAGACCACTGTTTGAAAGCGATCAAGTCAGGTGACGCGGATTTGACGATTCTCGAAGGAGGGTCAGTTCTTCGTGCGACCAAGGAATTCAACGCGGCTCCCATAATCGTGGAATCATATGGATCAGGTTCGACGGATCTTGGCGAAAGACCAGCAATAGCGGTTGTCCAGAAGTCATCCTCCATAAACAAATTGGGTAAGAAACAACAGATATTAATGGTAGTCGATGCTGGTACACACAGATTTATCTCAGAATCTCCTTAAAGTACAAATCAGATGAGAAAAAATTTTTTCTATACCCATTTTAGGTCGTGATTTATTTTCATTTTCATTTCACATTTACTTTTTCTTACATATAATCTGGCGAATTGGACATACAAACGATAAAAAAAAATGAATACCTACGATTAAATGATTTGAACTTGCAAATTCTTTTATCAACATTATTAATGGACTGAATTTTTATTCAGTTGCATGTAGCATACTCTCAGGTATAAACATTCAGATACAGAATTTTACACACTTTCTGTAAGAGAAATGTGTACAAATTGACACACAAGTGTGACGGATGAGAGTTGAAGTCAACAGCAGCAAACGGGCAAATAATTTCAAATTTTTAATCTACTGTGAACCTAACCCAAACCTAACCCAAGTAATTTTAAAATCCTACGAGAGAAAATTACAAATGTTGCTTTTTAACTAGCCAGATACCATTGCTGGATCAACTAAATACTTGTAACCAAAGATGCGTGGATCAAAGTATCTTGTCTAATTGTTTCCAAGTTGCGAGTTTATAAAATTATAAAATTTATACTTATAAAATATTAAAATTTATAAACTTATAAAATTTCTCACCATCTTCCAATCATCGCTTCTTGTTCGGTTTCAGAGGACTTGAGAGGTAAAAAGTCATGCCACAGTGGATACAAGGGTAATTTCGCCGGTTGGTTGGCACCGTTGCGAGTATTGAAGCAGAAGAATCTCGTCAACTCGGAGGACGATCTGGCTGATTTCTTCTCGGGATCGTGCGCTCCTGGAGCACCGAGCGGATCCAAGTTGTGCCAGCAGTGCGCCGGAAACTTGGCGAGCAACGACGACCGAGTCAGAGACGCGGGCAAATGCAAACCGAATAAGGAGGAAGCGTACGCGGGCAAAGGAGCTCTCGCGTAAGCTAAATTTTCAATCAAATTGATCGTTATATCACCGACAGAGAATAGTCATGATGAATATTTATCACATAATAATGCTCGTTTACCCCTTGTTCGTTTATTATACCAACGCTCGTAACATGAACGCGAGCACAAATTTAATTGGCTATAGTATTTTTAAACAACGATTACATTTTTCTGTAATAAATGCACACTTTTGTTGAAAATAGTTTAAAAAGCAGAAAAGAGATTCGTTTCAAATATTTTATCAAAATGTTTGACGTTTCGTGTACATTACGTATATTCTATCTATATCTAAATTTTCTATAAATGCATAAAAATGCGCGGCCTAACGATCACTGTTGCTCTGAGATTGGCATTCTATTCGTCACGAGCTATCACAAGTCAAAAAAAAAAAAAAAAAAACGTAATAAAGTTGATAAAGTCGAACTGAGAACGAACTGTCGTACGAAGAAACCGATAAGATATGTCGGATAGCCGTGAAATACCGTTGTTGCAAATATTTTATGTTTGTAACGACACCTGTTTGTAACGTTTCACTTCTCCACGATATTCTCGTCACTTTTTCAGCTGCTTGTTAAATGGCAAGGGGGACGTCGCGTTTGTGCCATCGACTGCTTTGAACAACACTGATTCCTCGAAGCTCGAGCTGCTCTGCGCAAATGGTGGACGGGCGCCTATTGATCAGTGGGAACGATGCAACTTGGGTCTGGAACCGCCGAGAGTTATTGTCAGCTCGGCTGCAAAAACTGCCAACGCTTTGGAAGAGCTCACCCACGGAACATTAGCCGCCAGCACTCTTTATTCGAAACGGCCCGACCTTTTGCACTTGTTTGGTTCTTGGACCGACCAGCCCAATCTCCTATTCAGGGTAATGAATCTTCTCTTTGCTCTTCTTTCAAAAAAAAAAAAAAAAAAAAATCCAAATGAGATTTAAACCAGTCCAATCAAGGATTAAGGATGAGGATATGTACGATTTTATTATGTGATTTTTGGCGGTTGGTAATCAATGTAGTTACATATCATAGTAATCATAGTAATTATTAATCAATGAGTCGTTGTTATCTTGATGAAATCAATGATCTTGACTTTTGTAATTTGCGATCATCAGTCAGTATTCTTTTAAATCATTAAGTGATTAATTTATATTCTATATTGCAGTCTGTAATCTGTTATTTTGTTCACTATATTTCACAACATAGGATTGTACCATTCAAGTTATCATAATTAAATATTAAACTAAGTAGCAGACCAAGACTAGAAAGAATTTATTTACACGTATTCTTTGCTGCATGATAGTGTCTGTATTGTTAAATTTAGAATGATTTATTAAAATTTGTTAAAGCTATATCTTTTTAAAGTCCATTTTCATCAAATCATACAAAAAAAATGATTATTAGATTAATCATAATCTTTGCTTGCTACATAGCAATGATTTTACTTCCTTTATTTATTAATCAGCGATTACTGACTCTTTGATAATTAATATTTTGATTCTACAGAAATTATAATTGTTATCAAATTAATACAAAGTTTTGCTCAATTCTGTTACGTGATTTTCAGTAACTAACTAACTAACTAATGTTGTGAGTTTCATCGATCAGTGATCTATAAAACACGTAAATTTCACTGGTTAATCATGAGTGACGTTACTGTAATTTCATGCAATTTTCAGCAATTAGTGACTCATGAAATTATCGCGACTCATTTTGTAAATTTCCAACAAAACTTGCCAGATACGTTAAATTGGTTTAACTCCAGATTAGAAGAAGAGCCTAACTGGTTTCAAATTTCGGTTTCAGGACGAGGCAAATGGTCTGGTGTCGGTGAACAAATCGTGGAACAAGTGGAACGATTGGCAGAACACACAGCAAACTTATGGTATAGCTTGAAACGTCGTTTCTCGTCGCAGGGAGACTTCAGAGGGCTGCGAGATTGTTCTTTTAACGCTGCAATAAAATAGCGTAGTAACTAACACTATCTTCGGACATCTTTATTTTAATGCTCCTCCTCTTCCTCCGTCTCTCTTATCGGGAATTCGTAAATCAAAATTAATCTAAGGACTGAATGAACTTTGAATAAACTCGCCTTGCCTCCAAATCTGTAAATAACCTGTTCGTGCGACAGGGAACGACAAATATAAAATTGAAAAATATATGGACGTCATTCATAGAGAGACGCCATAAGTGACCAGGAAGTCGTTCACCAATTCTTAATACTTTTGCCGTGTACTCGTTTAGTATAAACTGTTCAATCATCTGATTAAACTGTTTATAAGCTCATTTACACCAACTGGAGCGAACGAACGTTTGTAGATTAAACCGAGTATGTAAAGTACTCAAAAAATAGGTTTTTTTTCTTCTTTTTTCTTTGTTAAGAAAGAACGAACATTCGCTTGGCTAGCAAGATTCGCACTGGGTAGAGACTTTGTGACTAGTTTGCTGTAGATTCCTGTTCTACGATGCGAGACTGCTCTCGACCAAACAGTCGTTCGATTAACAGTACCAAACAGGTAACTAGAAAAGCTGAGAGCATGAAGATGAGCAGAGGCGCTGCGTCCTCCATCTCCACCGTGGACCATCCGCTTTTCGCCTGAAACGCAACGAAGGTGTTGTCGTTTTTCTTAAATTTCCTCATGAAAAGTGATAAACTAAATAACGACGAAATTTAAAATCGTAGAAAGATTCAAATAAAACAAACAAGTTGCGATACATTAATTTTAATACAACTTCGTTCCTTATTCGAATTTTCTTTTTCTGCGATTTTAAATTTCGTCGCTATTTTAATTATCCCTTGTATATGTATTATCTCTTAAATAAGTAAAATTTATGTGTCTGAATATTCACATAATTAATATTATAAATATATTATATTAAATTACAATATATTATAATTATATTATATTAAATTATAATATGTTATAATTATATTATATTAAATTATAATATAATATAATATAATATAATTATATTATATTATGTTATATTAAATTATAATATATTATAATTATATTATATTATATTATATTATATTGTATTATATTATATTAAATTATAATATAATATAATTATAAAATTATTATTATAATTATATTATATTAAATTAAAATATATTATAATTATATTATGTTATATTATATTAATTATATTATATTAAATATTCATATAATTCATTAATCCAAACAACAACTTATTGTAATATTATATAAGTATCTGCCTAGGCTTTCTTAAATATCGTAAAATTCTCTGGAAGTATGTCAAAATAATTCTTTGAATTCTGTTTTATATCCTCGACTATTAGAAAATAGCTCACCCAACGCTCATTGCTTGACCATTCGAGGTCGATTAACCGCTGGAGAATCCCACTGTCGCGCAACAGAAGAATGCTACGAATGAGAGAAACACGAGAGTAAGAGAAACGCGCGAAAGAACAGACATAGAGAGATTATTAAATCTAACATCTGACTCACTTGCTGTTGATGATGCCATGGTAAGGACTGTCAGCCGGCACTGCCATAGCTATCGTTGTTTGCATTATCACATCCAGAGGTTCTAGCGCGCACTCGACCTTCCCTTGCAGCACCGAGGCCATGTTATCCAGCGTCATGAATGCGTACTTCTTTTCTTGACACACGCGGGTCAAGCCGTCGAAATAATTTGGCGGTAGATCGGTTTCTCTGGTCAACAGTTGGTCGAACATAACCGTGAGCACGTTGTCGCTGGTGTTCTGTTTGTCGCCGAGAAAAGGAAACCATCGAGAAATGTACAGAAGTTTTTTATCATTGTCAATAATATATCAATGAATGATGAAAAATTGTCGCCACAAATTACTGTAAATCATAGTATGCAATAGTGTACAAACTAACATCTCAACGCTAAGAATATTCACTTGCAATTAACACTATGAACAATCAAACTGATTAATTTATAATTCTTCGTAGAAACTTGACAGATTTTTGAGAGATTTGAGTGATTATTCTCATAATTTAAATTTATATACTTAATTTAGCCTCAAAATTATTTAAATTTATATACCTAATTCTACAAATAAAAATGATTGAAGAAATAAATATTACTGAATAAATAAGTAATAAAATTTTATAATCTATAATTAAAAATATATTTATTTTCATCGAATTTAGTCTAACAACATTTCATAATTAAATAATAAAAAATATGATATTTAAACTTATAAAAAATAGTATAATTCTAAAAATTAATACTTTTACAATGATTTGAAATAATTTTTATATCCTTGAAATCACAATTCAACATTTTCACTGAACATTAAATATTTAAATAAATTATTAAATTAAAAAGAGAATAAATTTACTGGAAATAAGTGTATAAATAATCTTAAAAGATTTATTAACTTGCAATTATACTAAACTTTCAAAATTTAGAAAATTTTTTCCATGTTTCAACAAATCTAAATAAATACTAACGGTTCGCTAATTATTCAGTTTTTGATCAAAGGAAGATTTGTTACCTGAAAGAAACTGTAGTCGGCCGAATCGGCGACCACAGCAAAACGATAAGTGCCATCTTCCAGCAAACCTTCCATCGTGGTGAATGGCATCAGGAACGTTTTTATGGCCAAGTGGCTGATCAACGCTGCCGAATAAGCCGCGATCACCACCACCGCCGTCAAATGGATACTCAGATGCACCAGTCTCGTCGGATCCAAGAGAGACGGTTCCATGCCTGCTCTCAAATCCTAAATTAATTCAGCTCTCCCGTTATTTCATGGTACTAGAATATTTAATGCAAGGTTGGAAGGTCACGTCGTTGTCAGTATATTGTTGAAAAGTTCACGAAACAGAGAGAAAGATTTCGTTTGCCGCAAATGTACTCTATGATAAATATCGATTACTATCAATTGGTGTTATGGATTAGACTGCGACTCTTGGACGGTACCTGATAATTTAAATTACATTAAATATTAACTTCCATGTCTCTAAATGCTTACATATTAATATAATTTATAAAATTTATTGTTGTTGAAATAAAACTTCTGAAGTCAGTCTCTAAGAAGTGTTTTAAAGTTGTAAAATGTGAAAGCTTCTCTGTCTTGTAGTCACAAAAAATTTTTCCAATTTTTACATCGAATGTACATATCTAAATATCATATACTGTTGCTCACCTTGCCCGCAGAACACGCCAAACACGGAGAACAGAATCTCAGACAGACTGGACTTAGCCATGGGTTTGATGTTAGGTGGCAACGAATCGGATTTCCTCGAGAACGCGTCGATCCCGGCGATTGTTAGACCTACGACGATGATGGTCAGCCCGATCGCGTTCCAAATGTTGAACGAGAATGGCGCCAAGTACGCGTTCCAGTTCACCGCTGTTGTGTCCGGTCTTTTGATGTACGCGCGACATCTGAAAAGGAGAACGAGAGATGTTAGTTATTGAATAATATAACAAAAAATAATAATAATAATAATAACAACGGTGAGAATAATAAAATAGAAAAAGAAGAAACGCTCGATTCTTAAACTTACCTAGTCGTGTAAACGGGAGTGGTGTACTTTATAGAGTCCAGTCTGTCAGAAGACATCATCAGCTCGCTCGCTCCGAGATCAGCCTCGTCATCTACCAGCATTTTGATCAACCCTGTCCACGAGCCATTCGGCAACTGTGCACCCCACGAGGTAGCCTCCATGTATGTGAACCTGAAATCTCCGCGTCGCGAGAACCATTTGAAAGAGACGTTTGCTAACTGTATGAAAAAAATTGCTTAAATTCGCGCGCAAATAAATCCTGTTTCGACCTGTACTGTGTCTGCACTTTAACTTCCGAGTCAAATTGTAGAAAATTTTATACAAAATTATATAATTAAATACAATAATAATAGTTTAATAATTATTATATACAACATAGTAATTTTATACAAAATTGTATAATTAAATACAATAATAATAATTTAATAATTATACGTATACAATATAATAATTTTGTACAAAATTATATTATGTACAATAGTAATAATTTAATAATTATGTGTATACAATACAATAATTTTATACAAAATTATATTATTATATACAACAATAATTATAATTTAATAATTATATGTATACAATATAATAATTTTTTACAAAATTATATAATTATATACAATAATAATAATAATTTAATAATTAATAATAATAATTTAATAATTATGTGTATACAATATAATAATTTTATACAAAATTATATTATTATATACAATAACAATAATTTAATAATTATGTGTTTACAATATAATAATTTTACACAAAATGATATTATTATATACAATAATAATAATTTAATAATTATATGTATACAGTATAATAATTTTTTACAAAATTATATAATTATATACAATAATAATAATAATTTAATAATTATGTGTATACAATATAATAATTTTTTACAAAATTATATTATTATATACAATAATAATAATTTAATAATTATGCGTATACAATATAATAATTTTACAAAATTATATTATTATATACAATAATAATAATTTAATAATTATGTTTATACAATATAATAATTTTATACAAAATTATATAATTATATACAATAATAATATTTTAATAATCATACACAGTATAATAATTTTATACAAAATTATATAAAATTAACTTTGTTTCATTTCTGCAGTTAAAAATGGAAATACGCTCCTACTTCGGTCACGTTTACTACTGTCGAACCAATTTTATATCATTTCTTTTATTCAGAATTTGACTCGGAACTTAGAGTGCTAGCTCGATTCATTGAACAGACTATGCCTCATCACTAAACAGTACTGTTCTTCGCTAACTTGAAGCTAAGTGAATTAACCAAAGATTTGAAAAGATATCTCAAGCAACGTTAATGACTGAGATTTACACTGATAAAGTTGTTTCAAGTTGCTCGAGTTCAAGTGACTTGATTAATCTGAAGTTCTTCAAGAATCGAGACCGATATCGCGGTATTTTTATACGATCGACTGTCCTGTTCTCGTTTGACAGACGAGAAAGGGGAAGAAGAAGAAGAAGAAGAAGGATCAGGAGGAGCATGCTACGAGGGTTCGCGTTACGATGTTTGGAACCTGTTAGTCCAAGAGCAACTGCTTCGCCGTACGTAAACGAAAGATTTGAGAGATTCAACGACAGATCGGTTTAACTGTTTAACCTTCAAGCATCATAAATGCCTGCAATTTACACTATTGCTATAAAGAAACTTCTCAAACTTCTCGCTAATATCTAGTAGTGCAACATACAAGATCCAATTCAATTCTTCTTGTTTTATACATTAATGACAATTAAGTAATTCCAAGTGTAATCTTTTCTCATTTCGAAAAAGTTAATATATACAGGGTGTCCATAAAGTCTCTTTACAATTTCAAAAATTTATTACAAAGGCGAATGAAAAGACAGATAAGTGAAAATTATTACCAAATGAGACGTATATATTCAAGTTTTTTCTGTCTTGTTTAATACACCTCTATATGGGCACCATTTCTTACACGATTGATGTTTTCCTCAGATGTTCTTGGTTGTCCACTCCTCCCTTTGTCGAACACTGTCCCTGTCTCCATAAATTTCTTGTGCCATGCACGAATTGATGGACGTAACTGTGGATCTCTTCCATACTTAGTTCTGAAGTTTCACTGAGTCTGTAGATCCGATTTGGTTTCAATAAACCATGACACACACTGTGTCTTCTCTGGAAGAGTGGCCATTTTGTAAGGGGTTCGTTTAACAGTATCTTATTCATCAACAGGGTACCTAAAATGCAATGTGATAAAAATCTTGATATCCACTGCGTACGTGAAACAAATCTGACGAAGATGTCTCACCAATTGCCTTTATAAGAAATTTTTGAAATTGCAAAGAGACTTTATGGACACCCACATGGGATTATGTTAAAGATATCGTGTATCTAACAAAAGTACGGGACAACATGGCAGGAAATCGAGTACCGTGCTTGATGTGCTTCTTGCAACTAATGATGCCCACATAAAGGTGTATTAAATGAAGCAAAAAAAAAAAAAAAACACTTAAATATATAGGTCTCATTTTGTAATAATTTCCACTTATCTGTCTTTTCATTTGCCTTTGAAATAAGTCTTTGAAATTGCAAAGAGACTTCATGGACATTCTGTATCTCAACTCCCGCTTTACGCGCAGATGCGCGTCAGTGTTACGCGGCAAGATCATAATTCGACGAAACTACGAAAGATTTCGACGAAGCGGTGACGGTCGGAAAAGAGAATGGTTCGAGGAAAAGTCGGCCGCCAGTCAAGACGAGTACTTTCGAAAGGAAACCGCCAGACAGCTGAAAGAGCTTCGACGTGCCCTTAAGAGAAAAGCCGAAGAAGAAAAAGAGATGGAGTGTGGCAAGAAAAGAAAGAGAAGAACCGACGACGTGGCATGCCCTCCCGATTCGAAGGACAAGAAGGGGAAAAAACGAACGAAAGTAAATGAAATGAAACATTTGATAGTTTGAGTATGTTTAACAAAAATTACAACCAGTAGAAATCACACGATGCCATGGTGATGATTGTTGAGAAATATATTTTATGACAATGTTGACTATATCAAAATGAAAATAGTAACAAATAAAGGGAAGTGATTGAACAGTACATAATGAAATAATGTAGTATGAAATGTATTGATAAATAGAACATTTCAATGTTAAATCATCTGAATAATTTAAAACTTCAAACAACGCGTTCCTATATATATATATAAAAATATTCAAATACTTCACACTAACGTGCAATTCATTCCTTCTTGCAGTAGTTGAATCACTTCACCGAAGAAGCCACGGATCCCGAACGGTTGACCAGTTTCATCGCGAATCATTCGAGAAACTGGTGGATCCTACCATTGAAACAGATAGTTCATCGATATCAATGCGTAAGTATGAATTCACTTACAAAAAACAAGAAATAGTGTTAGATTAAATTAAAAAGAAAGAAAGAGAAACATATCTCGTTGTTAGGCTAATTTTTAATTTTGAGAATGTAGCCAAGAAAAGAGTTTTAAATATTATAGAAAAAGACTGCATGTTTGAATATTTCGTATATTTCTTCGTATCATGCGCATATAAATGTATAAAAATCCGTTCATCTAGTCCTGTCAATTTCGTGTCAACACAATATCCCAAAGATACTTCTGAATATATCTAATAATATAGAAATATTATATTAATATTAATATAATGTAAATATAATATAATAATATTAATATATATATTATATTATTATTAATTAATATTATATTATATTAATATTAATATTAATATAATAAATATTAATATAATAAAAATATTATAATACTAGAAAATATTAGTACAATAATATAGAAAATATTTCCCTTTTCCTTCTCACAGGAATTTCTGATTATAAGTGGTTCAAAAGATATTTCTTCTTTTTTTGCGTTTTGCGCCCGAACTCGAAAAATATTTCCATCCCAAAATAGAAACAAATGAACTAATCTATGCAGACATAATCGATCATTGCGTTGATGACTCACGTTGATAGAAACCACTCGTATGTTGCGTCCATGTAGGTCGTGTCTGCGTTGGTACAACCCAAGCCGAGGTCCCCGGAATCCACTTTTCGGATCCCACTTGCCAAAACTCATCGATCTCAGATCATCCTCCCTGCTGATTTGGTACACGTCGCGAATGACCTCGCCGGCATCCTCACTCCCAGCATCCCTCTGAGTCGCCATCATCATACAGTCAAACGGTATGTAAACGTCCGACAGAAATTCCTCGATTCTGGTCTCGTCCCGCAGAAACAGCAACCACGTCGGATAAGCCATCGCGATCCACTTGGAGACCTGTTTCGAAACGTTTTATTTTGTCGATTCGACGACGATTCAATTTTCCTCTGTTGTTCAGCCTTGAATTTTTCCCACTCACCAGAGCGAATTGCTCTCCGATCTCGTCGAGGTCGTTCAATAACACGAACAACGGCCTCTTGATGTGATGGTAAGTGTTCCCTATCTGAAATAAGACACGACGATCGATCGGATCATCGTCGTAAGAGATTAGACAATTATTAACACGTTCACAGTCCAATGTCGAGCATGCTCCGTGGAGGTGAAATATAAATAGGTTTTAACAATGCGTTTAAAAGCTGTTCATTATAGGTAAATGAATACGTAATTTATTCGTCGGTATAATAACGAAGATACGAAACACCTTGCTACATTGAAAGTACACGAGCAAATTTTTAAACGTTTCAATCGTTTCTGTTCTACGAGATCTGGGATTAGAGGACACCATACATATATGGGACAACGAACTGCGAACGTGCCAAGTCTCGATGCTTTTTGAGTTTTCAAAGCTTTCCTTCCTGCGTGCGGCGTGCACTTTTAACTCGGCAAGATCGCATGCTCGCGTGCGTCGCACCATTAACTCTTCACTATAGATTCGAACAAGGCGTTAAATGTAGTTCGATAAATTTCATACCTTGCGTGTCGTCATACGTAATCTAAGTACTAGCATTCACTCCCTATGAAATACGTGGGAAATACGTGTCGCGAGAAGCGAGAAATCTTGAGGATGGGAAACAAAATTGTACCGTGTACAGTGTTCATCATTTTGTACATAGTTTGACGGACGTCGTGTTAATAAATTCTATCGAGTCATACACGGTATGAACATACTCGAGTCCTGAACGTGTGAAAATCCATGATCGCTGTCCGGATGCTCAGAGATCCGCTGAAGTACCTTTGAAGCTCCAGCAGCCCATCCATCTCTTTCATCCCTAGACGAATCATCCGCTATCTATTTGATCGTCGACGACACGCTCTACATGGAAACTCGTCACTCACCTTCCACCTCCGTCGAGGCCACCGAGTGAAAAAGTATCACGCACGTGTTGTTGAAGTAATCGTGAACACCCTTGATCAGGCTCTGGTAGACGTGGATCGGTCTTATCAGGACCGGCTGGGCGTCTGTCAAGAAAACAGCGAGCCAAGCGCTTCTCCAAACGCAGAGCAGCAACAGCGTCGCGCGGAATTCCCACCTGAATCGCAGCATCGTCCCCCTTCGTTTATTTTATTTCTATCGATCTAACTGATCGTTGTATATATTGTCTGCAATTCTCGTTTTTCTGTTGAATTCTAATTAATCCTTATTCACGACCCGTCGGTCTTACTCTCGGTGTCCGTGTCACGACGACTCGTTGGCAGCGGTCACGCGACTGATCCCATTTCCCCCGATTATCCAAGTCTAAACGTACGACCGTATCTGTTTAAATTCAGACTAGATGGTGATTTCACAAAATTGCCTCGCATCGTTGTGGCATCGTGAAATCGTTGTAGATGATAGAGAGAGAGTTTAGAGAGTGTCTCGTAATGGGAAAAGGGCGCATTCTCGCGTCGAGGAAATCGATAGTTGACTGATCGAATCAGATGAGACGCGTTCAATTAATCTGTGTCCTCCTCCGACGCGATAGTTGCCTAGCCCTAGCGGTGTCGTCTAAACCACAACACAGCTACGTGGAAATGGATATCGATCGCGATATCGCATTCACATTGTTTTAACGACCGTTTCTTCTTTCAGTTCTGTACCATCATCTCGCATCTTCGTGCACGATCCAAGCACGCGTATGTAGCGAACGAAAGGCTAGATATTGTGTTCTTTGTCATATTGAGCTAAGTATTATTCCGTGTTCTTGCCACTTTGGTCAATTTGTGATAACGATACGTGACCTCCTGTCGTACAAATTAATATTGAAATTAATAATAAGAATAGGAAGGATGAGAAAAATGTTATCAATGCATTTTCTATATGAGAAGTCATGAGTCTGTAAATCTAAAGTAATCTGTCAAAATGGAAAACGTAACGATAATATATTTCGTTATTTATTGCAGCATATAACAAATTTGACTATCGCTTAATTAAAATGCTGAAAATCTAACTAGTTAATTAGATACATTACATTTCAATTTGAAGTAAAATGATTTTCCTGTAAATTATTTCGTTATTTATTGGTTGTCAGATAAAAAAATTTTTTAAATTTCCAGCTCTTAACTTATGAAATATTAATCGACACAATAAATATGATTTAGTGATACCTCTTGCAAAGAAACGTAAGCATACGAATATTTTTCCGGAACGATAGCGCATATCATATTCAGTTCAAGTCGATTTCTCTGTACTCACGATATTTACTCAAGTTGGCAAACACTGATTCTCCTATAATCGTTGATTTCGTGCTTCTCGTTGATGAAAAATAAATCGGAAATCGCCGACGACATGATACATCTCGTAGAAAAACGGAGCAAAAGAATGAATTGATTTTTTTCGATCCGCGATTCGTCTCACTTACGTCTCTGCCATAGTCAAAGAAGTTATAAAACTTTTTGCACACCAACTTCCTGCACACAGGAAGTATTTGTTAGTAACAAAATTCGTCAAATAAAACCTAGAAGAAATATATAAATTGTACGCTAAAGAACATTTCGAAAATAACGTTCTTCACACATGCCAATACATTTTTGACAATTCTGCTCATGTTAAAGTAGTTTTGTTCATCCGATTCGAAAAAAAAAACAAAGAGATCACTATACAAAGTTTCGAATGAAAATGATCTCAGTGACTCTTTTTTTATAAAAATCAACCAAAGACGTTCTTCGCGAATGAATATTAAAATATTCCCCGATAATTGACAAACATATATACGGTAGCCGATACAAAAAAAAAAAAAAAAAGAAATAGATCTTATGTCCTTATTAAAATAAAAAAAAGAAACAAAATAACGTCAAAACACTGTCTTGACATACGTGGCTTAGAGTGAAAACTCGTAGAAAAAATTTTGAAATAAATAGAAATGAGTAATGTAATTGTTTGTATAATACTCATAATTATACGATAATGCGAAACGATTAGTTTCCAGCCCGCCTTACTTCCATTTCGTTATGTCACTCGATGTGAGCCAAGCTGGGGGGCTGGCATTCGACGATAACCGACGATTCACCGCGATAAATGGAGAAACTAAACTTGCAAAATATAAGTTCGACGCAATTTTCCGTTAGAAGGTGCATCGCGTGACGTACAAAATGCCTGTAAAGTTATAAATTAACATCGATAACGAGCCGAATGACAAGTGAACTGTCAGACAGTTGATAAAGGATGGAAGTCGATAATAGTCCCAATAGTTCACCGAAACCGAGCCCAGTCGAATTTTGCTACGACCGCGAGCCAGATCGAACGTCTAGCCACCATGAAAGCCGTATTCATTTTGTTCTCGTCGATATGCGTTTCTGCGTGGTGCGTTTCTGCTGCTTCTTTCAACGAAGGTACGAATTGTCCACGATCGATCGATCCACTTTTACGTCTGACCTCTTGCACGATTAAACTGACATTAAAATATTTCTATAATTGTACACAGAGATACGTAACAGATTCAGTAACAAATCAGTAACAGATTCGTTCGTGTCGGAATAGCAAATTCAACGTGGGATGTTGAAAGAAAATCTTGCAAATGGCGAGTTATTACATCGAGAATTACAATTTAAATGGAGATGAATTTTGTATCTTTTCTTCGTTTTCAATTTAAAGTCATTAATACATTGACTTGATAAATTTTGTTCAGTTTACTTTGTATATTCACATTTATTTTCCATCCAAAGGATGATTTTAGATTTTCCGTTCCTGTCGCTATTGTCTTCTACAATTTAAATGTCAGACTTACAATGATGGGAGTGAATCTCCGAGAATCATCTGCGTATCATCATTCACAATTCGAAAATCTGACTTACAGCTGTTTCTAAAATTACTATAAAAGTTATTTATCTTCAATCGTGCAAGGGACAGATGTCCGGCATCGCACGTTTAATTTCACTATCCGGGCGACCGTGTTACAGGGGTACCAACGTTGAACAACCATCTGGCCACCACCGTAACGCTGCATCGCATCGTACGTGAGATCGATCCTTTCAGAATCATCGAACGATTCATATCGGACATAACTCTGTTTCCGGGGAGAGCGTTCCAACAGTTCTTGCAATTCATCCGATCGATCCTCGCCAGTATCAAATCGGCAATTCGATTAGTGTTCGATAGTATCGACTCAATAATCAACAACGTGTTTGAACAAAATAATGGAACCAGCTCGAGCACCGAAGATAGACATCGAAGATCGCCGAATGAAACATCACCTCTTCCGGATGTGATATTAAATCCGCTGAACGACGTCCGGAAAATACTACGCCAAATAGAAAATACCACTAGCGCAGAAATCGGGACGATCGTGGAGACTATAGCGCGTACCGCGTGGAACTTCTTCACCACGGAAGTGCTCCCTTGGCTGCACCGTATACTCGAGAGGCTCGAAAACTCAAACGTTCTGCCCTCCTCGGTACAAAATCTGATCCAAAGTTTGGAGGCCATCTACTTTTTGATGCGAATGGCCGGTTACGTCAGCTGATTTTCACGAAGCGAGAGGCGAATAATTTTGACAGCAGGAGGCCGATCGCGATATTAGTTCCCTTTCTTTCACTGGAATTTGTCGAAATAGCCGAATATTCTACTCAAACTTACTTTACTGTTTTCGACGATTGCCAAATATATATATATATATATATACAAGCGTTTCACTTTTATCGAGACTTTTCTTGTCGTACTTTCTCGTCTTCATTCCCGATTAACTGCGTAAAATATTTAGATTAAATATTTAAAAAAATTGGTATGCTTGCGATTAATATTGAGGCAGCCAGAGGTAATTTGAAACTGATGAAATATAATTGGTTTCTCTACAAAAGAAGACAAAAAGTTCCTCTACAGAATCTCGCGCATGCAAATTGTTAATGTAAACGCAATCAGAGGCAATAATTAACCTGGAAACTTTTCTCTCAGCGTTCGTATTTATTTACAATTAATTACAATTTGCAAGTTCAAACATTCCGCTTTTGTCAAATAAATCGCGAAATTATCTGCCGTTTCATTCGATCACGAAGAAGAGATCGTGAAAAAGAAAAACGAACACTTTCGCTCGCTCTTTATCCTTCTCGTTTTACATTCGCCCGAGCAAGGAATTAACTCTGAGAAATTTTCTCCGCCGATAGGAAGATGCGGGCGCGAAAAATATCTGTTTCTTGCGCCAGTGAAATCGCACGATTGCTTCGCAATTGCCAGTGAAATCGGCTCGATGCGGGACTTTTCACACGCGGGAGATCGATTCTTTCGCCATCGTCTTTCATCGTTGGCGAGCGAATTGCCGATTTGCCGATCCAACGTGTCGCTCACGAGACTTCCTCGGTATACGTCTCACGAGACTTCGTTCCAAGAAAACGGGACTGACGCGGGCAGACAATAAAATCGAACACGTGCAAAATCACTGTTACGTAAGTCGAAGGCCGCTTCTAATCGTGCATCGCGTCATCGCAGCTCGCTTTGGTATTTGCCGTGCATGATTCGCTACCGCGGCTCGTGGCCGCTAGTGCACGAAATGCGGAACCCAGGAAAATCGACACGGCCAAACATCATCGATCGGCATTTGTGTATCGTAGCTTCATCTATTTAGCAATACCACTCAGCGTGAAAACGAAACAGTTTGCCACGATCATTTTGTCTGATAAAATGAAAATACCTAAGAGTGTCTTAATAATTTCCTCGTACAATTTCTTAAGGACGGAAACAAGCATACTCTTAATTAATTTCGATGCATGTAACAAGCATACTCTTAATTAATTTCGATACATGTCCTTTGCAAATATGCTTGTCTCTTGTCCTTAATATGTGTAAGGAAATAGATACGTTCTTAATTGTTTCAATATCCATTCGTTGAGAAATAAGTCTCTTAGAGTCTTTAGAGATGAGATTGACGAAACATAGAGTGACAAAAGCGTGTTCTTAATTATTTTAATATGCTCCTTGGAAATATGATAAATTAGTAATTAAACTCTTAATTAATTTCAATTTTTGGAAAATTAAATACAAAGTTGTTTGGCAAATTGAAAATATAAAGGGATGAAATTAACAAACAGATTTCGATATATAAGAAATATAAAATTCTCAAGGAAATAAGACCGAACAAGAACCATCGAACAAGAACGACTCGGAAACTATAATAACGAGATTAAGAAGTTTTAGAAGAATTTCTTTTTTTTTTTTTTTGCAATGCTTAAAATGCAATTTTATATTCTTGATTTTCGTCACACTTTGAGTAGCAGAATTTCCATCAGCTCGCATACACCACGAATTACACGCGAATTGTCCACGGTATGTTCGAGCAATCGCGATAAGCATCGATGCACCGTGTTGCGACCAAGCCTTTTGTCGTTTGATGACCGTAAGCGTCCGTGAACATGCGCGCTCATCCGAAGCCACGCTTCGACGACCTACGGACCCTAACTTGCACTTTTGGTTCACCGAATCTCACAGGTTCTACGATCTGTAATAATGTCGTCATTACACACCTGCAAATATTCACTGTTTCTTTCGAGCGTTGAATAATTAATATACACATACGTAAATGAAAGCGAAAATATCCCATTAACCGATTTATTTTTGCGAAACGAAAAGTCATTTTTACTGCATCGCGTCTATAATCTACTAAATTGTGCCTGAATAGTGAAAATCTTTGAAACATCGAAGAAAAATGGTACGAGACCTTTTCTGGTCTTTTCTCATCTATATATTATATTAAAACGACGAGGAAAATATAAATACGTTAATCAAGATGCCTTTTCATTTTCCTCGTTTAGATCAAAATTGTGTCAGACAGGAGAGCAACTTTCCTCTTTGAAGGTACTTCGCTTGAAAAGTGTATTGTAAATATTCTTTCGAAACGTGAAAAAAAAAAACCCCCCGATATTAAAAGCTCTGTGATTTCTTTGGGAAAGGTCCAAAATATGGCACTTCGAATCCAGAACATCCTGGTTAACGTCGTTGCGGCTGGATGTTTGAACCCAGTGAGAACTCGAGGATCAGATTTTTTTTTTTTTAACAACGCTCGTCATTCGCGTGCAGTCCATCAAACATCCGTTTTACGAGTTTACATGTTATCGCGTTACAACATACTGCGATTATTCGTTCGTGGACCATGGTGTGCGCGCGGGCGGGCGCGGACGTGCTCGTTTCTATTCGTTTCTCGCGAATGCAGGTGAACACGTATGTACGTATGTATGTATGTACGTACGCACCTCGCAGGCATCAGTTGCTCGGGAAATTGCAAATGTGCCGCGTGTTCCTCAAATCGAAAGAGTTGTTTGCAAATGTTCGCGGTGATCGTTTGCCGCGCTGATCCACTTTACTTCCGCTTCACTTCGCCGCTCACTTCGACGACTGACAACGTAAAAAGCCTCGTTCAGATGTGTTCAAGCAACGTGATATATTTTTATTCACTTGGTCCGAATTGTTCTGTGAGACTTCACCCACGCGTTTAATTTCTAATAAGTGGATATAGAAATTGTTGTTTGCAGTTTTGTGAAGTACGTGTACGTAGCCTCTATCTGTGTGCTCTAAATTAAAATGCACAATAAAAAAGTAAAAAGGAAAAATTTTTTTTTTTTCTTAGCGAAGTTTAACAATTTAGTGCACACAAATGGGGACAAGGTATACTGATATGGAGAGATAACCTACCAGTAAAAGTTTTTCGTGTCCTAGTTTTTTTCGTTTTTTTTTTACTAAATATTTACCACAACAAGCCACTTGGCTTCACGTACAGTCATTCGTTTATGCCAGCAAGCTCCTATTATTGAAATTACAATCAAGTGTAATTTTACGAATGCATTAACATATCATTTAGAATGAATTTTGTGAGTCATAAAAGTAACGGTTGGAATCCTATTGTCTAACTTAATGAGAACAAATGGAGGAGACCTTGAACGACATTTAAAAAGCTAAAAATAGTTTTAATTGTATATTAATTGATACTGTAGTTAAAAATATACTCAAGTTTTACGTAAAGCTGTTATCAACTGCTCAGTTGATTTAAAGAAAACAATAATCGCCAGATTATGCAACGTTCGGGAAGTAGTTCATTACTTTTGAATCGCGGTACAGTAATCTCTAATTAAAAAATTGGTACTATTTCTAGAACGAAATGATCTGCAAATTTCAGTTACTGGCGAAACAAAAATAACCACTGTCGCCACGTCATTTTTTTGAAAAAAAAAAAAGAGAAGAAAACACTCTTAAATCCAAAATTTAAGTTATACCATATTAAACTGCACTATGGAAAATTTTACGGTGTAAAAAGTACGCGAATGAAAGAATACAGCACGAATACAGACGGAGCATTTTCCATTTTCTTAATTGTATTCAAAAAGATATCAACTTGTATAAATATTCACATATTATTTGTTACATTCGTTAACAAACTGTGCCAACACCATTACCACTTATCAAGCCGCGGCACAGTAATCTCTAATTAAAAAATTGGTACTATTTCTAGAACGAAATGATCTGCAAATTTCAGTTACTGGCGAAACAAAAATAACCACTGTCGCCACGTCATTTTTTTGAAAAAAAAAAAAGAGAAGAAAACACTCTTAAATCCAAAATTTAAGTTATACCATATTAAACTGCACTATGGAAAATTTTACGGTGTAAAAAGTACGCGAATGAAAGAATACAGCACGAATACAGACGGAGCATTTTCCATTTTCTTAATTGTATTCAAAAAGATATCAACTTGTATAAATATTCGCATATTATTTGTTACATTCGTTAACAAACTGTGCCAACACCATTACCACTTATCAAGCCGCGGCACAGTTAAAGTCAAGCGACAGCTCAATTGAAGCGACAAGTTACTTACTACTGGCTTGAAATCCAAATAATTTAATCAGCCTGAACGAGGCTCGAACAGTCGGTGAATCACAGCGCACGATGCGGATTTAGGAAACAGGATCCGCCCCGCTGGGAACTTTCGAATTTTCCAGTCGACGATTTTCCAACTGGATCTGTGGATCCACACCGGTGTCGGTTACGTAAACGATCCGGTGAGTCGTCGTGTACACGACCGCGTGCGAGGCAAACGTTCGCGAAGATCCTTGGCACGGTATCGAAATTCGCGAATCGATCGCGCGCCGAAGCCGCGTGCGCGATGCGATCGGCAGACGAACGACAAACATGACGACGATCGCTCGTCTTCTCGTCGGCATCGTGATATGCGGGTCTATCACGAAAACAGGTAAAATCATATTCTAACAATCGACACGTAGACCATTTCACCGAGAAACTCGTTCGCCTCTCGGTTCCAGATGGACGTTGTTCGTACGCCAGTTGGGAGAAAATCGGTGGCGTGAAGCCGGAAACCATTGACGCGCAAACGGTTCTCTTTAGCGCGGTCAACTCAAATGGGATAACGAAGCGCTGCTTCGAGAGGTGGGTAGATTCGAACTGTTTCATTCCCCGTACTCTCGAGGAAAAGTTCAAGATGAGCTCAAATGATTCCGAGGAATCCGGTTGCAATGAAAACGAAATGTTACGTGGTTTTAGTTCGTTCTTCTTACTAAATTATCCTACACGCTGTCCAATTTGCAACAACCTGACCTGATAATTGACAATATGCCAATTTAATTTAGGAAATTGCCGAACGTTAGTGTTGGACGATTTTTAACTTCTTGCGCTGGAATGACGCGCCAGTAATATTTTCTCAGTTTTAAGTAAAATAATACTTAAGTAAAATAATGATTCTGTTACTTCTCGATCGTTTATATTCAGTGATATGCGACGAATTATTATATATACGGTTTGGTCACTCGTTATGGTCCGCAATCAGTTGCCAGCGCAACTGGTTAATATGCGTCGGAAAATAATTTCGCGCATAGAGAGACGAGAACAAGTTTCTTCATTGTATAAATGAACATTTGACGCTTATAGGAAATCCCACTTTCACGTGAGACTTGTTTAACAACGTCCCGATAAACAATACAAATATTGTGATTTTGTACAATAACCATTTGTTTTATCTCACGAGTCATTACAATGTTTCTCAAGCAGAGATCATTCAAAAATTGTTACCGATAAGTAATCCTACTCAAATATAGCAGAACCTCACTTGTACGAATCAATAATAACGCAGAACGTCAGATATTCATAAAAGAATGAAATAAAATGAAAGAACGTTTCTTTAAACAATGATGAAAAAATGACACCAATTGTAATTATATCAACATTGTCTTTCGAGTTTCAGGTGTGAACGCGTAAACTGCACCGCATTCGTGATAGATTTTGGTAGAAGCATCTGCTACAGCGTACGAACAAGAGATGACGAACTGGTCCCCGATCCGAGTTCGATCTTTTATCAGCGAGTATGCTTGAAAGGCGAGTAGAGTCAACGATCTAGCATCGAATTACATTGTTGCTCGTCGATATTCATTTTTATCTCACGTCGCCAGTGCCAATGAGTTGCGCGCGAGACAGACTTTGGCAGGTAGAGAGAATCCCAGGAGCAGTGTTCATGGACTCCAACGCGTTCCATCTGCCCGAACCGATCACGAGGAACCAATGTTACGAGAAATGCATGGACGCAGGTAAGCGCGCCGCAGATCGAGATCGAGAACGATCGACGCAATCGACCACGCGATCGTGGCGGCGATTTTCTTCCAGGTAGAAGCTGCGAGTCCGTGCAATTCCGCACCACGAAACCCCTGTCGATCGACAGAACCGCGCTCGGACGGTGCTCTCTCTCGTTGCACGAACGAGGAACCAGACCGTCAGCGTACAGAGCCTCGATGTACAGAGACGAGTACCTTCGAGACCAGTGTCGAAGCCTCTGTAAGTGATGTCTGACAATTTTACACTAATTCTTTTACACAATTCACAGTTACTGAGTTTTTTTTTTTTTTTACACGTTAATGCAATTTGCACATAATTTCAGTAAGAATAAGAATGAATAAAACGCTGAATTCTTGTAAAATTAATTTTTCCCCAATGTAAGCTATTTTCACAATTATACGATTCTTTTTTACGTGTAAAACGAGACTCGGGTGTGTTTCAAAAATGAGTGTGGATATTTTATACTTTATATTTTATATTTTATATTTTATATTTTATATTTTATATTTTATATTTTATATTTTATATTTTATATTTTATATTTTATATTTTAT